GGGAGTGGGGAGGGAATGGTTATGATGGGCAGACTGGGAGACCACAAAGGCTGATGGATTAGATGAGAATGTTGTTCCAAGAAAGCTCAGGAATACCTTTGTGTAGTTTTGGGGCAGAGTTGGGTGTCCCCTTGCTGTTAGTCTTTTTGTCTGTTTTGTTATCAGGTTAATCTCCACGAGATTAACATTAACTCTCTCAACTAATCATGACAGGTGAGCGTGGCAGTAAATTCTTCCATGTCAAGAAAAAGACAAATTGTACTGTACTGCATATTGTGGTACAGTACTGCTAATTGCTGAACTTGATAAATGTCTTCTGATAGGTTCTGTAGTTAATGAGCAAAGATGTTAATTGCCCTTATCTGAAATATCTGTAGTTGCAGGGACGTTCTCTGGAGCCATGGATGTCTTCTAAGAGAGATTTATTTCAAATCAGCCATTGTTTTCAGCAGTTTCAGAGTCCATTACCCTGCAGTATCAACTAAATAGTCTCCACCCCCATCAAAGTTTTGAGAACAATCAGCCCTTCCTATGTCTTATAAAACAGGTCTGAATCTTATTTGGGTATGGAAAACTTACGTGTGACACAGCATGCTCAGCATCCTGGGCTGCAGCAGGAGCATGGCTCATTCCTAAGAGCAGCCAAGAGAGAAATAAGCACCTGCCAGCAGAAGAGAGAGGGTCTGGAACAGCCCCATTTCCCCCCACCATCTGGAGCATTTAATTGGGAAAATAAGTCTTCGTTGTTGTTGTGTTGGTGGGAGTTGTCAGTCTAAGTATGTTTTAATGCAAATAACCATCTCTAGTTGTAGAATTCATCTTTTCTAGGTGCTTTCTTTGGAAAACATGCAGCTGAAGATTTAGTGCATTATTATATGAGTAAGTGCATACAAGCCTCATATTAACAATGGACGTCATGTTTATTCTTTTCCTTTTAGAATTTCCCATGGAAACAAGTGGGCAGATTTTTGCATTATTGAGTAGTTTGCTGCTGCTGACTTTTCCCAGAAACACAAGAGAAAACCAGGCTTACGCAGGAACCTACATGTTCTTCCAGTTTTGGGAGCACTGGATTCCCCTAAGATTTGATTTGTAGTAGGTTTTGGTGTGTGCCTATTCTGGTGCAATGTTTCAGAGCTGTATGATTAATAAATCTTCATGGAACTGAAAAAAGACCAAGTTAAAACATACCTGATTTCCCAGCAGAGAAGTTGCATGTTTTGTTAGGAGGCTAAAGGCTACTGGGAAGAGAAACATGTTTCCTTATGGGGTTTTTGTTTGTTGTAAGAAATTGCATTTTCATTTATGAATATTGCACAGTATTTCAGTACATATTCAATAGCAAACAGCCAGAAGTTCAAACTGTAACTGTAAATCTGTAAGCTGACATATGTAGATTCTCTGGCCAAACTTTCTTAAGTCAGGATTAATTTTGTAGAGTGAGATAGAAAAGTCCATTAACTTGCTTCGTTTCATAGATTTCAGACTTTGCCAGGAAATATAAATCTCCTTTCAAAAATGACAACTATAAAAATAAGAATTACTATTTTCTTAAATAAAGACATTTTCAACTAAACTTGACATACTGCTGCTCAAGATGCTGTGGCTTTAGACTGATACCAATAATTAAACTGAGGTATTCAGGTCCTCAGCTCCCCCTTCCAAATGATGTGCTGCCCCAAAGTTATGGTAAGTGAAGGAGCTCAAAAGTAATCTGGCAAAGGCTGGATGGGTTCCCTGATCTGCCTGACGCCACAGCCAGACAAATATTTGTGTGGGCAGAGACAGAGTGGGTGGATGGAGGTGGGAATGCTGCTTAAGACTAGTATTTGTGCCAGATGCTTCTCAGTGGTGACCCGGTGAGGATCTGTACATTATTGGTATTTTCAAACCTCTGAATCCACATTGCTGGCATGTTGTTGTGATTTGACTTTCCATGGAGAGACCTGGGGGTGAGGATGCAGCTTCTGGGGGTGTGGGTGCAAGCAAAACCAGCTGCAACATGAGAATGTGCAGCACTTGCACTGCTTATTTATCAGCCACAGTGATTCACTGTGATTGACGTTCACATACCTGAATGTCAAAATAACCTGTGTTTTAAGAGAAACCAGTGACTCAGGCTGTGGTTTTACCTGAGGCCATTTCCTGATAAATGGCTGAACTGTGCTGGGTCTTGAGAAAACACTGCTGAGGAACAGAGCTCTGTCCGTGTATCTGTTGAGGAGTTGGCCCTGTGTGTGGAGGGATGAGGGGAAGGACACCTTTGTGTGGGACTGACCTTCCCCTTGTGGGTGCTGTGGTCTCTGAGGAGTACCACAGCCCTGTGGGCTCAGGTCTGGTGACAGCTCTGTTTTGGTGCTTCCTCAGGGCATTTCTGCCCAGCCCTGATGTGGAACATGGTCTTCAGTGCTGGACAGCAACATTTTAAGGGGCTGTATACAGTGATAAATTACTGTACTTTAGACTCTCTCTGTTGTGAAACAGAGGTGAAGTTGCCTGTAACTGGTGTTTTCAGAACTGAAAATATTTCACTTCTTAGAAGATTGTCTTTTGAGGAAATCAGAAGCAATGCATAGGATGATGCTTACAGGGATTTAAGTATATTTAGGCTATTCATTGTTTGAGTAAGATAGCAAACAACTGTATGTGTACAGTATGGCTAGATGGAAGGTGTGGACATGGGATCATATGAATGCTGCATAAAGTACCTCATTGGCTTTCACTTAGAATGATTGACCATCTGCATAATTCCATTTTATGGTTTAGGTAGTCTTCCCATCCTTGGCAAACAGCAGAACTCTGCTCCTCCATTCCCCTTAAGGAGAAGGACTGTCCTGTGTTGGTGTGTGCCTGGGATGAAATCCTTGTGAATGGCTACAGAGCTGTGCTTCAACTGGCTCAGCTGTCTTTTAATGCTGTTTAAATGGATGATTTAAGGTATAGAGAAGCTTCTCTTGGAAACAGCTTCTGTGAGAATTCCTCAAATCCTCTTTGAAGTTAATGGAGGGTATTAAGGGCAGTCACCGCCTTCTTAAAAGAGAAATTTAAATTGCTTTGATTCATTTCATTTTATATTTGCATTAACTGGTTCTGGATTTCTCCCTTCTCCAGTCTTTCAGAGCATGTTTTTTGATAACTTTTCCCCCTGAGCATACTAGATTTTATGTTGGCTGTTTTGATATTTTTCCCTGAGTGTTGTAATGCTGATTACCAAAGGATCTTGGGCCTTTGGCTTCCTGTGAGAACGAGATAATGACTCTCCAGTAGGCAACGCATGACGTACAGTATCAGTATTAAGCCACTGGGATTCCAGTCACTAGTGTAGAACAATATTGTGGGTAAATGAATAAGCAGAAGTTTATCATACTTCCTGCACAACAAGGTTTTTGTTAAAGAGACAGTGAAAATTGTTTTCACCCTGGGCTGGTGCAAAATGAGCGCCGCTGCAGCAACCGTTAGGGAAAAAGATATTGAGGTTGAGTTCTGTGGCTGGCTGGGTTTTTCTTGCTGAAAAAACAGCTGAATTCTTGTGGCAGCAAAGGTGGGTGACAGGGCTGTCACTGCAGTTCTGGTGGATGACGTTTATGGGCCTAGAAGCATGTATGAAGTGTAGAACTCCAAAGTACGGTTTCCAGATGCACCACCTACTTAACTTATGGAAGAAAGTTGTACCAATTAGAAGCAGAGACGTTCCAAATGCAATTTGCTTATTTCACACTCGCCCCCAGGAATCCTGTGTTGTGATTTTAGGAGTTGGCCTTGTTTGACCCTGAAATAGATGTGGTTGCCTCCCTTGCCTTCCTTATTTCAAGACTGTCAGTTAAAAATAACTTATGTATTGGGCACAGTGGGAGTGAGTTTGAGAAGTTGAAGTTATATGTAAATCAGTAATAGTGAGAAAATAATTCATAAATGTAATGAGCTCTATTCTCTTGAAAGACATGGTCAAGTCTATGGTTTATCCATGAGGTGGGATTAATTATTTTTGTATGAAAATAGTTTCTCTGCCACAGCAGTACTGATCAGTTCACTTATGCTGTAGCACAGCAAAGTAAATTATGTCTTTGGAGGACCTCTGTTAAATATTCAATTACTTTTAAAATGACTTGCATAAAGTACAGAGTATGTACGTATACTCATTAGATACACAGCTATAGCACTGTGTATTTACTTAGTTTAAGATAATTTCATATGTGCTTTCATAGATACATTTCTGTTTCGTCTTATCTCATAGATAATTGTACTTCTGTAATGCCTAAGAATTACAGGGATACTAATAAATTAGTTTCATGTGTAAGTTTGTTTTCCTGCAATAATCAGTTTGTATTCTACATTTAATTGCAAAATGCAGTTACTTATTTGTGTTTTAATGGTGACTTTCATTTTAAGCCAGACATCAGCACTCTCTAGGAAACCACTGCTTACCTATAGACAAGATGAGTACATTGGTTGCTTTGCTTTTGCTTGAGTCTGAAACTTGAGGGCTGTATCTCTGGAGCCCCAAGAACCACTGTCAAGTGAAGGAATATGGATCCTGGTGATGTGGTTGATCAAAATTGAAGCTGGGGAATATGTGGAAGAAAGCAGCCTTGCTTTAGGACTTTAGGACAGTGCTGATCTGTCTGTGTGACTGAGGTGGTTCTTCATGCATTGAGCATGTGCATGGACAGAACCCTTCATAGCTCAGTTCAACCTGGAATTAAGTTTTATTGATTTCTGGGTCCAGGACAGGTTGGCATCTCTGTATTTCAGACACCTTGGACTGGCCTAGTTTTCTTTTTATGTGAGTGATCTTAACACTTGAACGAGTTGGAGGAAGGTGGCTGGATGGGGCTCTCTCTTGAATGACCTGGGTAGGAAGTTTGCTTTTCAATTAGATCTTGCAGATATTTGCAACACCAAGAGTAATTTTCATAATGCTGTTCTTCCTTGAAAATTGTGAAACTTCTTATGATGGCTAAGTAAACATTTTTTTTCTCTTCTCCTTTGTTTTCTTGCAGCCAACTGGGTACATGGAAAACTCCATTTCCTACAGTGCTATTGAAGATGTTCAACTGCTCTCCTGGGAGAATGCCCCTAAGTACTGTTTACAGCTCACAATCCCGGGGGGTACTGTCCTACTGCAGGTACAGTAAACATAAAAGTACAACTTCATTTCTCTCTTACTCTGAATCTCCTTCAACTTCATTCTCTTTCCTGTGCATGAAATCTCAGTTAGGTGGACTCAGAAAAGGCAGAGAACTTGGTGCTGTCAAATTATCTAACCACCAGAAAATTTGGTCAGGGTGATAGCTCTGAAACCGTTTGTTCAACAGTCAACAGTCAATGGAGATTTTTAGCCATAGTGATTAAACATTCTTGCTGAATTTGTGCAGCAAAGTAGTGCTCTGTGTAAAGGCACATTGATGCAGGCTTGGAATGATTGTGTTTTTACATGCAGTCTTATTCCTGCATGAAAAAAGTTAAAAGTTTCATCATTGAATTCATACAGGAAACCAAGAATTGCACTGGAACTGACAGATACCTATATTAAAAAACTATTCAATCTTCACTGAAATATTTCAGTATATTTGTATGGATATCTGTATATGCTGCTTCTCTGAAGTGTTGTTTGCAAGCAGAAGACACTGTGTTTACATTATTCCAGATTTCTTCATCCATTTGAGGCTTTATAGGCCCCCTTAGGTTGCTGCAAGTTTTAGTGACAGAAAAGCTCTCCACAGCTCTGAGCTTTGGAAATACTCTGAAGTAGGAAAAGCTGCATTGCCCCCAAAGAACTTTGAAAGGTCAAAACTTAAAAATACCAAACTGGCTTCAGCTTAACTCTTGCATGGTTCTCTCTCGTTTCTCGCCATTGTTTTGAAGATAATTTAGCTGTTATCCTTTGGGATTTTACTTTTTCAATTGCTTATACAGCCATGCCAGTGGTGCATATGTATTTCATCCAGGTAGGAGTGTAAGGGAAAAGTAGGAAGACAAGCCATGATTTCCCAACAGCTAGATTAGGGCCCTCATTATTGTTGAAATCTCCTTGCCTAATGCATTAATTAGACAGAAAGTTGTCTAAATTTCTCAAGTTGGATGATTTTCTCATGATAATTTTCATTCTGCTTTTTCAGTACATTTCCCTAGTGGTGTTAGCATTTAAGTTTATATCTATTTCAGCAGATGAAATAGTTACACCTGCCTTTCCAAATTCTGTTTCCAGGTCTTTTATTCTGTAGTTTATGGCAGCTGCCTTTTTGGGTCTATACAAGATAAAACTTGAACCCACAGCTTCCTGCTGTGTGGAAAGGAAATTGGTAGGGTAGACAGGCTGTAATCTGGAGCAGCCTGACATTTGTCTCTTTAAAAAAGAAAAAGAAAAAGCCAACAAACCAAACACATAAATAATTGTGTTTGTGAAACAGCGACATCTTAGCATGGATACTTTGGTATTTTCTTCAGAAAGATTGGTGTCTTTATGTAACCTCATTGGAACTCATAAAGAAGTGGACTGAGCTGGACTTCTGTTTATTGCTGCCTGGCTGAGCACTCTGGATCAGATTACATTATAACTATGGGAATTTCGACATAATTTGAAATACAAACTTTAAAAAATGTTTTTAATATGACTTGGTCCTTGGTAGTGTCTTGATTCATCAGATGTGGTCAGATTGGAGGGAGTATAAAATTAGATTTCCCTTATACAGTTGTAATGTGTATTCACAAATCCAAAACAGTTCTCAAAGTTATGTTTAGTCTGCTGAAGAAATCAAGTTGAAAAAGCTGGATTTATGAAGTAGTTGAGTTCTGCAGAAATTTTCTCGTCTATGTAACAAAGAGTAGAGGTATCCAAAGACACTTCAACTGAGGAGCTGAGAAAGTAGCCCTTGCATAGCTCAGTTATTTCCAGATTTGTGAGAGACTTCAGTATATCTCTGGGAAAGTGTGACTTCCATTTTTTAATGAAATCATTCTGCTCTGCTAATCTGAGCAGCAGCATGCTCTGATGTAATGTCCAGCTCTAGTATCAGGAAGTGTATGATAGTGGAACAAGTCAAACTAGTCCAAAACATGTTCCCAGTACTGTTTCTTCTGAAGTACACTTTTGGTGAAATCTCTATGTTTATTTTTTTTTCCAAAGCCTTTAAATAAAGTGTGTGTGTATATATATGTAAAAATGTCTAAATGAACTGTTTTGACTACCCCAAATTTATTTCATATTTCTGATCAATATAAATTTTATATTTTGATCTGTGTTTTTGCACATGCTGCACTGTAAATTCCTTAAAACCACGGGATGTTATTGACGTGATTTGACATAAAATGAAGCAGTTTAGTACTTTGAATCACAGGCTTTCCCAATTTTTCATTTTTGAGAATTTAAGATAGCAATTTCTGTTTAACTGAAGGCAGTGTGGATTTATGAAAGGCTGGTCCTGCTTGACCAAGCTGACCTCCTCCTGTGACAAGGTGACCTGCTTAGTGGGTGAGGAAAAGACTGTGGAGGTTTAGATTGGCTATTAGGGAAAAATTCTTCACCAAAAGTGTTCTCAGGGCACAGCCTGCCCAGGGAAGTGATTGAATCACCATCTCTGGAGGTATTTAAAAGATGTAGACGTGGCACCTGGGAACGTGGCTTGGTGATGAGCTTGGCTGTGCTGGGTTTGATCTTAGAGGTGTTTTCTAACCTAAACAATTCTGTGTGAGATGCCACAGCAGAGCCCCTGTCCATGTTCAAGTTTTCATCCCCTCTGTCTGCTGTCGCCAGGGTCTATTTCTGGCTTATTAGTGCACAGTAATGAGTCAGAGAGGGAAGAGTGCCATTACCTTTCCTTACATCATCCCAAGCCCTCCCATGGCAACACTGACCCATCCCAACCTATTTTAGCACATGAAACCTGACAGGCAGTGCCGGAGGTGATGCAGCTCCTCTTGGGAAATGGGATCACGGTAACAGGATGTGTCTACCTGGGTTTCAGAGGAAGACCTGTTCTCAGGCAGCAGACAGCTTCATCCAGGCTGGCTTCACGCTTAAAAGTCATTTTCATGTGTGGAGCTCTTCCCACTCAGTGTTTGTTGAATAAGCACAGCTATCTGAGCGTTTCACTGCCTGGCATTTGGGGATTCCCATTGTCCCATGTGGGATTCATGGGCAGTCAGGTTTCTGGGGATCACGGACTGTCAGTTTTCTAGACGTGCTGAGGGCTTGTGTTTTCTTTACCCCTGCCAAATGATGGGATCCCTGGTTCTCTCCATGAGCAGCAATCAAAATCTCTGATTTTTTTCTGCCCGGCAGTTAGAAAGAAGGTGTTGCTGAAGCTGGCTCATTAGGCCATGAGCTCTTCAGGCCAGGAAATAGGAGCTAAATTTAGCTTTTGATGAAGTGCGAGGTCTTTAGTATCAGGAATAGCAGGGCCTCCTTGAGCTGGGCTAGGCTTTTGCCCTTCTGCTTTCCCTCTGTAAAGCACAAGGTGTGATTATGGTGCAGTGTGGATGATTATGAGGAGGATGCTCTACCCTTGATAGTGAAAAAACTGGAAGAACCTTTTGAAAGAGATTTAAAAAATACCTTACAATACAATTTCTTGAGCTGCTGAGCACCAAATGTAGGAAGAGTCCCAGGAAAAAGGCTTTGGTATTTCAGTCACGACAGTACTGCCTTGCTTTCCTGTGGAGTCCTTTCTTTTAGCCTTAAAGCCACCACTTCCATCCCTGTCACTCGTGTTGTTTTATTCATTTCTTGGCAATTGAGTGTAGTCAGAAGGAAAAACAAACAGAGCAGGAAGCCTTGACAAGCACAACAGTCACACGTTCAGCTCGGTGCTTGACCACACTGTTTGTGCCAGGGAGTCCCCACGGTAAATGTTTCCACTGGGTTTTCAGTAATATTTTATTTTGGTCTCCTTGGAGAACCTGCCTTTTGTTTTAAGTGCCAGTCCAGCCAGTGCTGTTGGTGTGGAGAGGTCATACAAGGACCTCAACCCAGGAGAGGAAGGGAATATTTTAAGGAGGAAAAGGGCATTTCTAGCAATTCCCAGCAGCTCTCTCTCTACCCTGGGTTAGGGCAGAAGAGTGGCAGGTTTCCCTTGCAAATCTGCCCAAGGCAGAGGTGGAACAGAGTGATTTGCATCAGCAATGTGAAGGTTTTGTACAGCTGTGTGGGGCTTGGCTTCCTGCAGCCCTGGGACACTCCTCTGTTCCCGTGGCTGATAATAAAGGGGGGCAGAGAAGCCAGTGCTGTTTTATGAGTCCCAGTAATGAATGGGAAAAAAAGCACAGCAAAGCCCCCATCCTGCTGACCAGAAAGCAAGCGAGGGAGAGAGAGAATCACAGAATAAACTGAGGAAGAATCAAAGCCAAAATCTGGGTCAACAAATCCCACTTATTGCCACATCCATTCAGATGGCAAAATCCCCTAGAAGCACGTGTGTGAAGGACGCTGTTGTGAGGAAAAACTTGGGAACAGTTTGCTACCTGGACAAGCCTGATCTTGTATTCTTCTGAATAACACACATGCCAGGAGCAAGGGATGTTGTAGTGGTAATTTACTGCTAAAGAAATGGCAGAGACCTTCACCATAATTTTTAGAGTGCTCTGTTTCTTGCAGAGTTTCAGGTGTTCTGTTTCTCAGTAACACACATGTTCCTATTTAGTCTCCTCCTTGCCTGGGTACAAATTATTGCAGGGGCTGTAACACTGGCATGAAGCTTGTTCATCTATTTTTGTGACCAAAAAGGAAAACTTGCCTTTAAACCATTCACTGCTTTTTAATAATAAACTTGTATTCCTACTCACTAAGAAATGAAGTAGTTGGGGTGCAGAGCAAATACTTCCTTTTTCAGCAGAGGTATAAATTCACTCATGTTGACCAAAGCTTTGCATATGCAGGCATTTAATCTCTTGCACAGTTTTTCTTCTGTGAACTGTCTTTTTAAAGCAGGAGAGTTTAATCCTATGAGCAAAGTTTGTACTACAGCTGATCCCAGGTGGCTTTTCCTCTCTGATTGAACCTTTACACCCCAAAAATAAGAACATAAAATCCTGCAGAACACAGTTCTAGGATCAGTTAATCTTAAAAAAAATACTGCTAACAGTAGATGTTCCTAAAGTCGATATTCTTCTTCCTTATTGGAATAATAAATAAGCTTCAAGTAGTTTAATCTTGCACCTTTGAAGAGTTTTACTCCCACATTTTCCTGTTTTCTAAGGTATTTTTCTACTATGTTGTGGTTGTACAAAAACAATGTGAGGTCTTGATTGTGCAGGAAGCTCAGTTGGACCGTGTGTCACCCACTACCCTGTTAAAGCCACTGCATTTAGGAAAAAAATTGTAGAACTGGGGCCTAAACATACTAAACACACAAGGGGCCTAAACTATTATTTTGCATACCTCTGTATGTAAAATTGTATTGAAGTACAGTGAAGAATTATAGAATCTTCATTGTGCTTCAGTCCTGTCTCATTTACTATTTGTGACAACAGCAGGCAAAACATTTCCAGCTGAATTTTAAGTTGGAAAGGTAGCAGTCAAAAGAGTGGGGTAGAACTGGACTCACTGCAAGAGCAAAGCTGAAAGTAAAAAAAACAAACAAAAAACAACTTTCCTTGTGTGGTCAAAATGCCTAAGGAATGCCTGGTTTGAAGAATTTTCTGTCTCATTTTCTCCTTTTTATTGTACCCTAGAGCTGAACAAATATAGTAAACTATGCCCTTAGCTGCAGTAAAAAACTGTAGGTGTCAGTTCCCAAGAAGTGATGACTTCAGTGCAGAAAGCCTGAGTTCTGTCCATGCACATCAGATAAACTGTGAATGTCTGTGTGCAGCCCCATAAATGATTTGTGCTTCCCTCCACTGCTTTACACTTTGGTGCTCTTCGCTTAAACTTCAGCAATGTTGCTCACAGTAACCTGAATGCTCGAGTAGGTCAGTGCCTGCAGAGTTGGCTGGGCAGCTGAGCACCCACAAGAGCCTGGTGGCTCTTTTTTCATCCTGCCGTGCCATGAACTCACTGTTCCTTTGGTAGGAAAGAAATGCTCCCTGTAGTGCCTTCTCAGTGTAAGCCTGAAAATGAGGAGGGAGGACCAAGGGGTGCTGTGCAAGAGTGGGATCTTTGTTTTCCTTTGCAGAAGATCCAGCGTTTCCTGCGTGGTGCTGTGGTTTTGCTGGGGTCAGGTGGCCGGAAGGGTGCACAGGGAGGATTAGTGCCTGGAGAGATGGGGAATGTTGGTGTCAGCATCCCTCAGGATAAGGGTGGTTGGGGTAAAGTATTCAGTCTGTGCTGAGCATGGTGTAAAGACACTGGTGAAATGGCCATTGGCCTTCCAGGCTTCTCTTACCACTGAGTCCTGACCACTGGTACAAGTGTGGGGATTCTCTAAAGGTTTGTTTTTATATTTTCTGTTCACTTTGTCTTCTTTCTCTTGATTTTCCTGGGAAGTGGTCTTGGCTAACAGCCTGAGCTCTGAATGTTTAGAGGGCTCACACTCCTAACCTAGACCCAGGTGCCAATTTGCTTGATCACTTCTCTGCAATAACTAACTCTGTGTGTAGACAGTGCTTGGGCCCCACACTTGGAACTTAGTCACTTTGCTAATTTTACTTCTAAAATGCTTTGTATATTGCTGCCATGGAGTTGTACTTCCTTTGCCAGTTCTGGTTTTGTGTCTTGCAGCATTCTTCGTTTTCTTTTCTCCCCCAGTATTTGCAGTCCACTTGTGCCTCCTGCTCTGCATGATGCTGTTGTCCTCACTAATAGTTAGGGCTCTAGTCACTTCCAGAATATATCTACACATAATATTCTCTAATCATTTGCAGTGGTCTTACAGTCTGTACTGCTGACATCATTAAAGTAGGAGAATAATTAACAGATCTCAATTTAGGGATTCAGCATTTGTTCTTACTTTCAGACCAGGGACTGAATCAGGTTGATATTTTGCCTCTTTGGGTGAAGTACTCTCTTCCCCTAGAATAGTTTTGATTATATTGATTTAAATAACAGTATCTTAGTTTGTATAGTTCCTATAAACTCAGTCTTATTGGTGCAATTGCTAAGTTTACATGAAGCCTACAAAAACCTTCCGTTTTACTTACTCTTTAGAGGGCTTTGATGCTAGAATTTGGAAAGGACTTTTTTTGTTCTCCTGCATGAACCAGTTGTCTCCTCAAAAAACGAAAAAAAGGTTCAGTTTCAAATTAAATTTTTCAAATAAGTCTGTTGAGGTTTCAGAGCCTTCTCTCTGGGCAAAGATAAGAAATAGCTAAGTATATTTCCTTCATATGTTTTTCATTATGTTAAAAACATTCTTCTGTGTTTTGGTGGCAAATTATTTTTGACCTTTTCATTTCATTAAAATATAGTAAAAAGTATATTGAATTGAAATTTAATTCTGTAACATAAAAAGTCTGTTTTGTGTTATAATGCCCACATATACATAAAATACAGTGTAAATAATGGAAAATCATTAAATATTGTGTGACTGAAATATCCTGAAGATCTGCAGTCCAAATGTTTTTACAGTTTTTCATTGCATGCAAAAAGAAGAAAATAGAAAAGGGAAGTTTTTTAATTGCATTTGTAGCAATTTCATATTCTGATATGTCAGCATTCCTTTTTTAAATTGAAGGTTTTTGATAAATTCTGTGGTCAGCCAAGATTATTTATAATATATTTATTCCTGCTTTATTGCCCCGACATCTACTGGAGGAGCAATTGATTCTCATTAAGATATAAATAATATGTAATGCATATATAAAAGGATATTACTCTGTTTAATTCATAGTAATCAGTCTAAATTTGTGTCACTGAACCATCAGTAGCTGACCTTGAGATTAAACATGTTTTTGGTAACCATACAGCATTTTTACTTCTGGTATTCCTGCCATTATCAGTGAACTGAATGAGTGTTGGAGATTAAATACGTTCTGTAGTGTGGATTTTGAATACTTACCTGAAAAGGTGTTGGGGAGTGACATTTGATACGTGATGCTCTAATTTACAAGAAGTATGTGCTTTTTGACTAGCAAAGAACCTCACCTTTTTTTTTTTTTAAAATATGGATTTACAGGCTAACCTGTAATTTTCAGTGTTTTTGTAAAACATTTTGAAACGTGGGCAAAAATCGCCCATAGGCAGCGTTAAGGGGGAACTGGAAAAGCCAAAGGGCATCTCTACCCACTCAAATATTTCAGACTTATGTCACCTTGTTAAGGCATGCATATTTACGTCACTCTACATGCCTTTATATTTTTTGATACCAAGCCTTTTGACCTTTGGGAGTGTTGAACTATTCCTCCATTGGCTACGACCTGGCTTCACACTGGGAATTTCTGGCAGCTGTGCTTAATATGGCCAAAAATGGGTGATGGCTGGGAGTGATTATTGCAACATTTATGCTGTTGCTGCAAACAGTCTGTGCATGTATCTGCACGTCTGTGTGTGCTGGGCTTTTCACTGGTTTAATATCACTGAAAGAGCTAAGACATTATTTGAATTGCTTTGGGGCCACTGAGGAGCAGGACAAGAAAAGAAACCAGAGTATGGAAAAAACCCACCCCTCCTATTAAAATGTCAGCCCATCTTCCTACTCTCCTTCCAGTGATTAATGGCAGAGGCAAGTGCCACACAGGCATTAAAGATCTGACCCACACCTGATTGAATTCACAGAGGATTTTTCAGTCTTTGGGCTGGACAGCATTTTATAGGGGCTTAATATTTTGTAAGGTTTTGGTTCAGTATTTTATAATGCAGCAAGGTCTTTGTATCACTGCTTGCTGTGAAAATAAACTCATTAAAGTGCCTGAGTGACCTGAAGCACTGGTAGAAATTAATGATTCTGTCTGTAACTTTTCTTTATTGCAGGCTGCAAACAGTTACCTGAGGGATCAGTGGTTCCATTCTTTGCAGTGGAAGGTGAGTTCTGTACTTCATCTTCTTCATTCTCTGCCTCCAAGAGTACTTTTTAGAATTCCCTGTTTGTTCATTGTCAAAGCTCTGAATGGAAAAAAGTATGTTCTTGCAGAAGTCCTAAATCAGAACATGTCTGCAGTTTTAACATATCTGTGTCTCGGATGAAGTGGACAAATTAACTTGTTACACAGCCCAGCTTTATCAACATGTGACTAGCTTCAAAAAGTAGATGGGCAGTTAATTCACATTTAAACAGAACAGAGATGGTGTGGTTTTAGTTTTGTACTGTGAAGTGTAATATGCTATAGAGAGTACACCTCATCACATCCTCTGGACTCTTAGTTTTGAGGTTTTTTGTTTGGTTGGTTTTGAGTTTTCTGAGAAGCTAGGGAGAAGGAGTGTCTTTTAGAGTTGTTTATTGTATGTGTAACATCAATCAGTGGTGCATCAGTCTGTGTTTATACTTAAGGATGATTTGGAATTAAAGGCAGTTTCCATTTCAGAGACCTCAAGGCCTTTCTCATTTTCAGTGGGAACAATGGACTGATTGCCCTGAGTAGGGAAAGTGGATCACAGTGACAGCATTGTCTCTCCAGAGCAGCACATTCCTCATCAAAAACCGTAGTTGCTGACCTTTGGATGGAATCTGGATGGATCTTTGATGCAGTTAGGAACAAGTTTTGGCCAGATGCTGAATATAGTTGTCCTGCCTTGCCTTGCAGTGGGAAGCACAAGCAGTACCTTTCAGCTCAGGACTTGTCTTCAGCAGGGTTTCAGTGGAGTCAGCCAAGCTGGCTGTGCAGCTTATCAAGATTTCAGCCTGCTGACAGCAACCACATGGAAAAATATACGGAAGTCCCTCCCACCAAACTGGTTTTGTTGTAGGTGTATTTGATAGTTGCAAAACAGTTGTGTGGCAGAGCTACAGTGTTGGTGTGCTTTGTGTAGCCATCAGTGTCTGGGAGAATCGTGTTCTGAGCAGTTCCAGGCTCTTATCAGCAAAAGCCAAGTGTTGAGATCTCCTTTCCCAGACCACTGGCATATTCTCCAGCCTGTTACCCTGACTGCCCAAACCAGAGTGGGACAGAAGTGCTGATAGCAGGAGGCTGGGTTGTGCTGTAGCACTTTATTTTGGCCTCTTGACAGTATCATTAACACAATACCCAGCCAGCCTTGATTTCTTTGCAACTCCCGAGGATAACAAAGCACTTAAAGCATGCAGAGGCATTATCTCCATGTGGCCATTATTTTCTCTCCTGCTTTGGCAGGCAGGGATGATCAGAGAAAGCATGGATAGAAATGATGACGGAATAAATTTCTTTTTCTACCTCACCCCCAGCCAGGATGGTTGTGGTACCAAAGTGCTGGTGGCTCATGCCCACTTTGTTCCTGCAGTGAGGGGAGAATTGGGGTTGGAGATGCAGCTCTGGAAAACATCAAGTAAGAGGTGGTAAAGGTGCAACATGGGCCTACCATTCAACCCACCAAATAAATTCTTTAAAAAAAAAAAAAGGAAAAGAAAGAAAGCAAACCAGGCTAGACAGAGTGACCTGGCTTGCTTGCATGCCTTTCAGTCACAGAGAAGGAGCTTTGCTCTGTGGGAGTTGTTTTTAAAGGAGCATTTCTTAAACTTTCCAGTGCTTCTGACCCAAGCCTCTCATTTTGGGAAACTCTGAGTAATTTAACTTGGTGCAAAGTAGAATTTATTTTTGCTTCCCTACTTCCCTCCCCACCCCCATTAAATTTGTTTCTGAAAAACAAGTGAAACATTATCTTGATTTGAAAGCCCTTCCCTTTACCAAGAATAGCAAATAGTGTTTTCCCATAAGAACAGTGACAGGGTTTAGTCACTGCCCAGGTACTTGGCACTAAGAAATTCCTTTTTGCTAAAATGGAGGTAATTTAGGTTTTGTTTTTTGTTGCTTAATAGTTCAGAGGAAGAGCACCTGGTAACTTTCAGCTCTTTGGCAGGCTTAAGTGAGATCCCAAGGGGCTGAAGAACCAGGAGAAGCTGTCAGTGCAGACGAGAAGTGAGGGAGTGCAGTTGTGTCTGTCTCAGTGAAATTTATCACTTTACTGGCACTGGAGCCTGTGACTTTAAGAGCCAGGTGCTGAGGTTCATCTCACTCCATAATTTGTATGGTTTGATGATTAAGCAGGTAGTGAGGGAACCCACAAAAAACAGGAAACCTATTCTTCTGGAATGGGGCATTTACATAAAGCACCAGATGGCAGAGAGATTGCCACAGCTGTATTGTAATTGGGTGGTTGTGCTGATGAATGATACATTTGTCCAGTGGTCTTACAAAATAATAGGTCAAAACATTTCTGTGGGATGTAGAACACAGATACAAACCGGTGCAGATAGCTGTAACAGTTGTTCAGGGGAAAACATTCAACAGAGATGATCTTGCTATTGTTTGTACTTGTGTGGTGGGAGCATTTAGGGAGCCCAGCTGAACCCCAGTGTCCTTGGCACTAGATTTCATTTTAATTTTCTCCTGCCCTGCCCAAACAAGGCCGGAGGAATCCACTGTACAGACAGCAAACTGATATTCTGAGAATTTCCAGCAGTGGGGATTGCCCTCTCTTAAATTACAGTTATGGGAACAGATTCATATTCTGTCAGTGTCGTTCTGACTCCTTTTCCTGTGCTTGAAGCCTTGGGAATCAGATGCTGCATGTACCCTGAGCTGCATGGGAAATGGGAAGGAACAGTGAATAGCTGTGTCTCAAATATCTGGGGAAGCTCTTTAGGTTCAGGCACACACTTTGGTTTTGTAGGAAGGTGCTAAGGTCTGTGAGGGAGCTTTGATGTGGTGCAGTTTTAAGGTTTAACATGCTGTGGGAATTCAATTTGCCAACCGGCACCCTGGAAATTATTTTTGTTCTAGAGGCAAACACGGAAATAAAAATCAAGAATAATTTCTTCCTGTGACCCAGAAAATAATAAAAGAGATGGTACAGATTAACAGAAATAAGAGAACCAAACACATAATTATCCATGCTTTAGATCCAGCTCCAAGGGGTTTTATGTGTCATCCAGCTAACTAGCTGTCTAGATGCTTACAGAGTGTTTTAGTTGTGTCTTTTTTCTTGAATATTGGGCTCATTGAAATCAGCAGGGTTCAGGGATACTTCCATGCAAGTCTTCCTTATGTAGTCATCTTCTCTTTGGGTTTTCCATTTCAAACCCTCCCACTAAGGGTTACTCATAATTCCTCATTTAATCTGGATATCAGTGAGTATCACAACTCCTAAAGGATTATTGGCCACCTCAGCCTATTTTTAGAAATCCTGATTTCCTTCAGCTTGTAGCTAAGCCAAACTATCTTTGTCCAGAGAATAAACAGAACATGTTAACAACTCTCCAGCTCCTCAAACATAAATCATTAATCCATTGTGTAAGGAAAGTTCCTCTCAACCAGGGAGGTTGGATTGAAACCATGATACATAATCTTTGGTATGTGGAAGCTGATAAGTCATAACAGTGTATCAATAAAGATAACAACACTTTCTGTGGGTATACAAAAGAGAATAACACATGCAGTTCATTGCCCTGGCTGGATCCAGGGCAGATACAGTGGTAACCAGCCACTTCTGCAGGGGATGGATACAGCTAAACTTGGCTTTGAAAGATACTGGGAGGAGTGATTTTGGGACACACACAAATAAGGAAATACATACTCTTGGTATTTTCCCAGCCAGCATCCATCTACTTAGTTGCTTGTTTATGTGCTGCTCCCTTTGGGCTAAATGCACTTTGTGTGCATTTGTAGTGCTGAGCACTGAGAGGTACCATCCTCTGTACAAAACCTGTAGCCCCATTACACCACATGCTAAAAGTATTAGTCATTAACAGGTACACTTGACTAATTTAGTACCACGTTGCATTTCAGTTAGAAAGACATCAGTGAGGTTTTTCTCCCAGGAGTACAGGTATAGATTTACATTTTTTAGTGGGAATTCACCTAAGTTCATGCAGGAAATGTTGCATTTTTTATCGTGCCTGATAGTAAGCCCTGCACACTGCCCTCATTGTGGGGTGAGTTGCTCGTGTTTTCTGGTCAGCTGGGTGATGCAGCAGTCAAACATGTCAGTTGACAGCCTTTGGGGGCATGTCCTGAATTGACACAACACAGAAAGAACAGAGCCAGGTCTGCAGGAAAGCATGAAGCATGACTCAAACTGAGCTCTGTGTGCTTCTGACCTGGATCTTACAGAAAGGCTTGCATGTACCTTGTCTTTCCCACTGATGCTTTTTACCAGTGCCCATGTGTCCCCTAATGAGTACTGCTGCTTGGTTAGGGAGTTTACACATCTCTTAGCAGGGACAGTGCAAATGTGTTAATTGTAGGATTGTTTAGGTTGGAAGGGACCTTTGGACATCATCTGGTCCTCTCTCCACCCACGCCACACTTGTCCTCTTGCATGCAGGGCTCACTTTGAGGTGGTAGGAGGCTGCTGGGAGCCTGTGAAGCCCCAAACCAAGCAGATGAAGCAGCAGTGCTGGGCTGAGGGGAGCAGCCCCCTCCCCATCCATCTGTGCTCATGCAGCCCAGCATACGTGCAGACCCCTGACCTGCAGTCAGCAGTCACGTTACCTTTTGTTTTAAAATTCATTTTTAACCCAGACCCCGTGTTTTGAATCCCATGAATTAGGAAACTGGAACAATGTTGTCATTTGGGATTTGCAGACGTTTTGCATTGAATACTAAAACAAGCGATGTTGGCCTTTGTTCAAAAACTTTAATTTTGGATTAATACTTCCCTGGTTCTCATAGGGATTGTGCTATCTGTGTCTTCAGGAAACAGATACTTCCATGCACAAGCAGCCCTATTAATTGCAAAGGGATTGACTGTCAAATAAAGTCATACTTGACCTAAATGATGATATGTTATCTGGTCTTTACTGTGGCGAGGTTATGAATTTCTTGTTAATTAGTATTTTTTTATGCAATAGCCATGGGTGAGTATCAGGTTTTGTGTCAAATGGTGAACGT